TCTGTATTTTATAAATAGAATACCTTGGAAGTTGAACCAAGTCTGCTCCTAGATTATACTCTTCACGTCGAGCTACCAAGCAACTTTAAGAGAATTTCATCTAACCTGAAATTATATGCCCATAATTCAGATATCTTGGACTGTGTTATTCACCCTGGGGTAGTTGAACTGCCTCTGTAGACAATTCTTGTTGATTCATCTGACCTGTTCAAGATTTTGTGGGTGGGTAATTTTAGTCTGTTGATGTTCGCACTGACTATAAAATAATTGGGTTTTTAAAATACTAGTATGTTTGAATTCCACTGTGTTTATGCAATTTGAAATAGTCTAAATGTTAGTATCTGAATTCCCATTAAGATTAAAAATAATCTCCTCATTGCAGTGAACAAGGTCTAGAAGGCAACTGTGATGGTGCAGCCCCCCCCCCGGCAATCCCAGAACCAGCCAACATTGTCTTACAACGCAAGAATAGTTAGCTGACACGACTGGTGTTCTTTGAATCGGGGCGACTTGGCCTGGAGTCACACCCGCCTGCAGAACTGTACTTTCTGGGTAGTACTAGGAAATTGTATAGTTGCTGTCTGCATCATGGTGGATTGTGACCAGGATGGAAAATTGCTGATGCCTAAAGTGAGTCATCTTGAGACCCTATAAACAGCAGTACCAAGGAAGGCCCTTCGAGCTCTTCTAGTCGGCAGTGGGCTGCACCTTGTAACTCCCTCTTAGTGGGATGCCTTGAAGAGTAACTCACGAACTACCTGGGCTTATCTCCTTGAGACTCTACCTTTGTCTGTTGAGAAATCATTCTCTGAAGTGAGTATTTCACTGAACTCGAGGTGAATTTTTATGATTGCAGTGTGTGTGTGTGAATCAATTCAAAACATAATATTCTATTATTTTGAGTGTAATAGTAAATTCTTTTTAGTCACTCTGTAAATGGTAAGTTAACCAGTGATTAATAGCTGCTAAATTCCTGTGATTCTCCCTCTTTAAACCGTGATCACACCCTGAACTGCTGCTAAATATATTCCTTAGGCATAAACTGTTGTGGTCTAAGGCAGATTCTGGATCGAGCTTCACCAAGGCTCCTCTCTGAGAAGGAGTTTAGAGAGCAAGTGGGGGCCCATTCCAAACCTAGTGACTCAACGGGATGATCTCCCTTACCCCTTAAACTTTCTTACACTCTGTATAAATCACTTTCTATATAAAACCCCTTTTGATTTTGTATTCCATTCATTTGATAAGTAATCGAGTGAACCATGCCAACGAACTCTGTAAGATCTCATTTTTTAAATTTTCAGTAAAATCTTTTCTTACAAAACCTAACCACTCATTCACAACAGCAACCCAGATCACTTTGAAGTAGAAAGAAAGATAGGGCTGGATTCAGTTGCCCACAGAGAGTCAGGAAATGCCATGTGAGACATGTGGCATGTACAGTAGATTCTATCCTTCTGGAGAAGTAGAAAAAGTCCCAGTGAGGTATCCCACATATTAGAAGGTGAAGCTCACCCAAAAACACAGTTCAGTTTTGGTGAGAACTTGACTGTGTCTACCCAGCTCTAAATGAGATGATCATGAGAAGCATTGGGAAAATAAGAAAAGCACAGGTATTTCATATGAGATAGGCTTTCCCAAAAACTTTTGACTTCATCATCTGCTCTGCTTCAACAGTTTAAGTATTCCCAGGAAAGAAATGAACAAGCATTGATGAATTTTTAATAACTTTGCATACAAGTAACATATTAGTGACCCAGGTAACAACTGCTGATTTGCTCCAGCTGTGGAGAGACTGGCCTGGAGTGACATGATCAGTAAGACCATTGGCAAATTATGCTGATCATCTGAGTTGGAAAGCAATGATGAACAGTGAAAACAATTGAAGGGGAAACTCTAATTGTAACTGTTCAGCAGTGGTAATATGTGACCGAGGAATGATCTGGCATGGAGAGCAAGAAGGCCCAGCTACAAGAAGGGGTTAAACTGGCTGGAAGCAGGAGTACCAGAGACAGAACGACTCTTCTTCGCAAGTTTGCCTTGGTAATGAAGTAAGACATAGCCTCAGCATTCTCTTGTAGCCATCCTGGAATGGGAACACTCAGGGGCCAACTTTGGGCTGCAGAGCTGGGCTGGGGAATGGACACAAAGCCAGGCTGAGGTGCCCCATGTGACTGCTCTCAGGATTGTTGCTGGTGCAAGAGTATGTAAGGAATTTGCTTGTAATGCATCTTTGCAGACCATGTAGAACCGCTTATTGTGGTAGAATTCTGCCCAATGCATTGTTGAGTAATGTTTTCTTTCACATTTAAGCAGAAACTTCATTCACCTCAAGAGGTACCACAAAAAGTCCCTAATACAATAGTTGTGTGGGGTGGAGGGAATACCTCCAGGGCTGAGACACAATGAAGTGAAGCCAGGACACAAGCCAGGACTCACATCTGGATCGTCTGGAGTGAGAGTCCTGTTCCTTCAAGCCTGAGCCCATGGCTTACCTGGACTTGGCATTGGGCAGTGAGTACATGCTCTGTACAGAGTGTATGTCTGTGTCCATGTCTGTGTTTGTGTTACAAATTTGAAATTGCTTTCCACCCTGTGTACACATTCTACTTAGCAAATAGATCTTCCACGTTGTGTCACTGAGTGATGTTCTTGTGGCTACCTCTCTGTAAATTCCTGTGATGCTCAGGGTGTTTCTGATGGCCTTTGATATGTCTTGCAGACAACTAAATTAAAATCTTGGTTGATAAGCTGACTTGCTCTGACTGTTTTAATTAAAGATAAGATTAAGTTCCTCACACACAGGCTTCTTACATTATTTGAAATATCCTGGGGTATCCAGTTGTCAGTCCAGAAGAGGAAGATCTCTCTGAAATCCAGTGTAACAGTTTGTAGCCCCATGCACATGATTGAAATCATTACGGGGTGGCAGGAAAGATTTCCTTTTAGTTAAATAAACATGTGTCATCATCTGTTGCAAGAAGAGTTTAGAGATAGCTTATTTGCATATACAAAGATAGTTGACACCAAATTTATGTGTCTGAATCTCAGATTTAATCCCATCCTTAAAGTTTAATTCCTTTTATTCCTGTTACTCCTTTTTTTCTTTTTTTTCCTACTACTATCAAGGATTTTTCCTACTACTATCAAGGATTTTTCCTACTCTTTTGGAGGTAGTTTTCTACAAGGACAATAATACATACATTATGGATCTAAATCTTTGTAATGAACAAGTCCCTAGACTCCATATTATTATTATCATTATCATTATCATCAACATCAAATATATTTATATAATACAGGATATTTTAATGATACAATGTATACATTAAAAAGTACTATTTACACATTCTCATTGTATCACAGTTGCTCCATTCTGGCACTAAGAGATACAGAATGTTTCAGTGAAGTGCAAATGGAAAAGCATTTTCTCGATCTCTTTTAGTTTTCACTGGCATTTCTTTGCCTTGGGTGCAACCTGTCAAAAGAAATTGCTCAACACACTTATTAATAGCAGTATCAGTATGCCTAATGTGATTCAATTAGCACAGTCTAGAAGACGCACCCTGTGACTGCTTCAGGAAACTTGTCACTGAATTTTAGCTCATAAACATAAAGACTGTGTCCAAGTTATTCAAAAGGTTCAATCAGATTTTTTTTTGAATATTTAAATATAGTCATTATTGGTCTATCTTTTGGGTTTTTTTAGCTCAGAAATACTGAAAACAGAAACCAAAACACAAAACAAAAGAAAGCAACTGATTCCCAGGAAAAGATAGTAATGAAAAAAAATATTTTTCAGATTTAAATCTTGCTTGATGATATCAGCTTTTACACACACTCTCGAAACTTGTTTGCACTGAAAGGGGCAAAGAATTTCTGGCTGCCAGCTATCTGCAGACGTTCACCTTTTCGGAGCAGGGATGCC